AGAAACTAGAAAATACTTTCCTATGAAAACAAGGTAACACATAAATTAAAATGATAAATGACAACAATAACTAATGTTTATTGAGCACTTCCTACTTATTAAATAAACAGCCATGGAACAAGCACTATTGCCATAGGCACTTTGCAGATAATGAAACAGAAGCATGAAGAAGTGTTGCTCAATGTCACATGGCTAGTAAGGAATGAGACCAAAAATTCAAACCCAGGCAGCGTGGCTACAGAGCCAATGCTCTAAACTGCTTCACTGTATTGCCATCCACAGCCGAATGCATAAAGAGGATGTGGTGTATATATATATAGAATGGAATATTACTCAGCCATAAAAAAGAATGAAATTCCGCCATCTGCAGCAACGTGCATGGACCTAGAGAGTATTATGCATAGTGAAATAAGCCAGACAGAGAAAGATAAATACTCTATGTTATCACTTACATGTGGAAAATAAAAAATAAAGCAAATGAATATAACAAAACAGAAACAGACTCACAGATACAGAAAACAAACTAGTGGTTACCAGGGGGGAGAGGGGAAGGAGGAGGGGCAAGATAGGGGTATGGGATTAAGAGATACAAAACACTATGTATAAAACAGATAAGTAACAAGGATATACTCTATAGCACAGGGAATTATAGCCATTATCTTGTAATAACTTCTAATGGAGTACAAACTGTAAAAATACTGAATCATGATGTTATATACCTGAAACTAACATAATATTGTAAATCAATTATACTTTAGTGAAAAACCAAACGAAAGAGACAAACCAACAAAACCAGGCAATATGGCTATGGAGCAGATGCTCTAACCTGCCTCACTGTACCGCCTCACTGATGGTTAAGTTAGGTGTTCTTCATCAACCCCCAGAAACCTGTTTAGTTTTCAACATACTTGAACCACAACATATATATCACAGTTTCCCAATTTTTAACAGATTGATTGAGACATAACTCACATACCATAAAATTCACTCAATTAACTTTTTAAAATTCAGTGGTTTTTAGTGCATTCACAGACTTGTGAGCCATCAACACTATCTAATTTTAGAACATTTTCATCACACCAAAAAGCAACTCCTTACTCAGGAGCAGTTGCTCGCCCTCAGGCCCTCTCCTCAGTCCCTGGCTCTCACCCCTTCCTCTCTCTGTTGATTTGCTTTCTGGACAATTCATATAGATAGAATCATGTACCACATGGTTCATCCATGCTGTACCATGGATCCTGGCACTTCTTCCTTTTTTATTGCCATTGTGTAATATACTACATTTTGTTTATTCTTTCATTCATCATTTAGATGGACCTTTGGGTGATTGGCCACTTTTTTTCTATTATGAATAACGCTACTAAGAACATTCAGCGACGCATTTTTGTATGAACATATGTTTGCATTTCTCTTGGGTATACACCTAGGAGAAGAATTGCTGGGCCTTAACTCTGTGTTTAACATTTTGAGGAACTGCCAAATCATTTTCCAAAGTGGCTGCACCCCTCTGCATCCCAGCCAGCAAAGTTCCAGGGTTCCAGTCTCTCCACATACTTGCTACCACTTGTTAATGTTCATCTTTTTTTGTTGCAGGCATCCCAGTGAGGGTTAAAGGTATCCTATTGTGGTTTTGATTTGCATTTCCCTAATGACAAATGTCATCGATCACCTTTACATAGGCTTCTCGGCCATTCATTAACTTTTTTGAATAAGTGTCTGTTCAAATCTTTCCCCATTTTTTAACCAAGTTATCTGTCTCTACACTGAGTTATCAGAGTTCTTATTATATCCAGAGTTCTTACTATATCATATATATATATATGTTAGATATATGACTTGCAAATATTACCTCTCATTCTACGGATTTTACTTTCACTTTATTGATCATGTCCTTTGAAGTACAAAAGTTTAAGTTTCAATGAAATCTAATTTATTTTGTCTTTTGTCACTTGTACTTTCAGTGTCATACCCAAGAAAACCATTGCCTAACTCAATAATGTTATGAACACTTCTATGTTTTCTTCTACAAGTTTTATAGTTTTATCTCTTACATTTAGGTCTATATCCATTTTGAGTTTGTTTTTATGTATAGTATGAGGTAGCTTTATTTTTTTGCATTGGATTTGCATTTTGCAATTGGATATCCAATTGTCCCAGGATCACCTGTGAAAAAGACAGTTCTTTCCCCTTTGCATTGTCTTGGCATCTTTGTCAAAAATCATAAATGTAAGGGTTTATTTCTGTACTTTCAATTCTTATTCCACTGATCTACATGTCTATCCTTATGGAACTATCACACTGTCTTGATTACTTTAATTTGTATGTAGTTAAGTTTTGAAACTGGCAAGTCTAAGTTCTCTAACTTTGTTCTTTCTCAAAATTGTGTTGGCTATTCTTGGTCCCTTGTGTTTTCATACGAATTTTAGGATCCGTTTGTCAATTTCCATAAAAGAAAAAAAAGCCATGTGGAATTTTGATAGAGATTGTGTTGAAAGTTTAGATCAACTTGGGAAATATTGCTATCTTAATATCAAGTTTTCTGGTCCATAAACATGGAATGTGTTTCCATTTCTTTAGAGGTTTGAAATTTCTTCCAATACAATTTCATAGTTTTCAGTGTACGTCTTGCACTTCTTTGTAAGATTTATTCTTAAGTATCCTTTAAGAGTTGGATGATGACCCCCAAATTTACATGTTGAATCTTACTCCCCCAGTACCTCAGGATGTGACCCTTTTTGGAGATAGGGTCTTCACAGAGGTAATAAAGTTAAAATTAAAACATGAGGGTGGGCCCTAATCCAATATGACTGGTGTCTTTTACAAAGGGTGCCCTTTATAAACAGGGAAAGTTCAGAGACAGACACACAAACAGGGACAACATGCCATGTGAAGGTGATGGCAGAAATTTATAGGCCACACAACTCCAAAGGTTGCCAGAAAACCACCAGAAGCTAGGAGAGAGGGATGGAACAGATTCTCTTATAGCCCCTGGAAGGAAGCAACCCAGCTGACACCTTGATCTTGGAATTGTAGCCTCCAGAACTGTGAGACAATTAGTTTGTGATACTTTGCTACTGAAGGTATATCAAGCTAATACAGTATCTTATATTCTTTTTTGAAGCTACTGCAAATGGAATTGTTTTCTTAATTTCATTTTGGGAGTGGGTTTTTTTTCTTTTTTTTGCTAGTGTAAAGAAATACAATCGATTTTTGTATTCTGATCTTATAATAAAATACAGAATAAACATGGTCTAGGAAGACTCATTTAATTATAAGTTTATTGAAACCTCATTGAAAATTTCTTTTCCCCAGTAAACCGAATTGATCAGTGAAGTCTTATAGGTCTTAAAGAACAAGATGTTCTTTAACAAAAAAATTATGAAGAATGTAAAACATATACTTAAAGGTAGAGAAAAGAGTATAAGAAACCTCTATATATCCATCACCTAGATTCCAAAATTATCAATATTTTGTCACTCTTGCTTTTCCCTTCTCACCTCTCTCAGATGAGTGAATGTAGCTATACTGCCTGGTGGGACAAACAGCCCACGAGTTTTGCTCCTGGGTAACCCTACCCCACCTGAATGGGAGTGAACTGAGAGGAGGTTATTTGCTAGACTAGTACAGCTGCCTGCAATACAGACCAGCACAGCGGCCAAACTTAATGTCCTTTCCAAGGGTGGAAAAGTTAGGGTATAAATGAAGAAAAGGAGAAATAATAGCTGCAGGTAAGAGGATGAATAAATAGGGTATGTAATGAGGGAAATCCAATATTACATTAACACCTCGAAGAGGCTCAGGGCAAGATATTGTCTCTTAGCTCAGCTACACCAGATGTCCGAAAGGGTAAAGCCATATGTTGCCAAGACCACTCCTACTTTTGGAACTTATGAGATCTAACGGAGGCCTGCCAACCTGAGTGGCCTCGCCCTGGGAGGTACTTTCATATAATGTGAGAATGGACTGGACTCATTATTATTAATGACTGAATGAGATCTAGTAATGTGCCCACGTCTGTTAACTGTTAGGATTCTTTTGTTAGAAGGGATCTGCGCTCAAAACCCAGAGGGTGGCTTCGGATTAATATAAGAAATATATCTGGTCTTTGTTTCCAGTTCCCGGCATAAACCTCCCAAAACCCATGAAATTTCCTGAATAATTGGAGTGACTTTTGTCATTCATAAGGATCCCTTTTGAGCACACTTGAATTTATGCTAATAAAACGACTTAGCACGGGGCCCCAGATAGCCTCCGGATGGGGCTGGTCACCAGAAAGACCAGGTGATTAGAAGGCTGCAACTTCCAGCCCACCCACCGCTGGGAATGGACATGGGTGTTGCAGATTAAGCTCTATAAATCTCTTGAACCACAAGATTTGATGTGCTTTTGGATGGGTGAGCTTGTCCACAGGCCAGGAGGCTGTGTACCCCAGTTCCATGAGGACAGAAGCTCCTACACTCAAGACCCTTCTGGACTTATGGGTGAAAGGGTGGTGAGAAACCCTCCTGTCTTCCATTAGGCCAGACACCAAAGAGATTTGTAAAAATACACGACAATTCCCATCTTCTCACTTCACTTTTTTTGCTTTGAAAATGTATTTTTTAAACTTATTGATGTTAACATGTAATGGAGTTATTATTTTATTTTCATAGAAGTCATTTAAAAGATTAAATTTCCTTTCAGTTTTAACTTCTAAAAATTATATTGATACATATAATCCCCCAACACACACACACAGAACCCCTTGGGGTGCTCAATAAGTTTTAAGAGCGCAAAGGGGTCCTAAAGCCAAAATATTTGAGATCTGTTCTTCAACAAATTTCTTTCTTCACCATCTCACCTAAACTCTTGGCTGATTGGATGAAGATCCTTTTTGCCGTATTTTCTGCAAATGCCACTGGAAAGAAAATCTATCTCCTCCCTGACATTCCTTTCCATGAGAAGCCGTCTTTGAATTTAGAGGACGAGACAGACAAGGACTCGACAAAGTTAACACTCACCTTCACTAATTCTGTGTAGCCCGTTTCCTTGGGGGTCCACCACGGCTGGGCTTTCAGTCCATGAACGTTGTAGAGTGAGCGCTGCCACACAGATGCAAAGTGGCCCCTCTGGTGCCCAAGCTCGTACCACTTATATGCCTGGAAGAGTTCAGAGAGACTGAACTCCAAACGAAGCAGTTTTACTAACTTTACAATGAAAGTCCCTAAAAACAAGGTCTGACTTTTAAATAAAGAGCTTGCTAGTCAGGTGCCCAAATCTGTCACACTGGTAAAAATACTGTTATTTTGGGTCTCTTCTGATTGGGTCTCTGATTATGACCTATTATTTTAAATACATGTGTGTTTTTTATTTTCACTCCTAGGCTGTAAGCTCTCTGAACACAGGACTCCACTGCACTCACTGGTCTCCCCAGAGTGTCCAGCAGAATCTAGGACTTTGTTGAGTGGATAAATCATCTAAGACACAAAAGGGGACTATGTTTATATTTTAGCTTGCATTTCTTAAAGTCTGTGTTTCCTTTCAAAGGAAAGGAGTATGATTTTCATCATTTCTTCACAGATATCTGCATTTACTGAATTGGGATGTTAAGAAAGACAGCAACTTCCTTGGTTTTTTTTGGCCACGCCCGGCGGCATGCTGGATCTTAGTTCCCTGACCAGGGATTGAACCCGTGCCCCCTGCAGTGGAAGCGGGGAGTCCTAACCACTGCACCACCAGGGAATTCCCAGACAGCAACGTGAACAGTCTTCTCACGTCCACATGAAGAAGGCTGCCCCAAGGTAACGAAGTATAAATCCTCCATTAAAGAAGCAGAGCGAAAGAAAATATTATTCTGAGTTAGCAGTAAATAGAGTGATAGCCCGCATTAGATTTTTTTAGAAGGGAATTTTTGTTCCTAGTATTTTTTCTTCCTGCCATAAGGGATAACATTTGCGGTTGCAGGCTAGCTGTAACATGATACAACTTGCCTCCAAGAAGACTAACTAGCCTTTTCAGGGACAGCTGGCTGCAGTCTGCAGCTCCATACGTACCCTTCAAAGGATGCCCGAACCATATCCTCTCCCAGGGGCCCTCCCCACATGCCTCCTGCACTGTGCTCACCCCATTGACTGGAAGACGGTTCTAGGAGAGTGCCTAATGGTATCGCCTCCATTATTTTAATTCTGATCTAATGATTACTTTTGAAGAGTGATTTCAAATACACATTTTGACCAATGAAAACAGGCAGTTAATATCAAGCAGAGTAAGAAGATAGAAGAATATCTTCACAAAACCACATCTTACTTTAGATGTAAGAAATAATAACTTTTAAGTCTCTTAAAATTCATAAGTCAAAAAATTTCCTTCGCTAGAAAAATCAAGTGTGATAGCAGAACCACTCCTATTTTCAGTAACACTTTTCAGCTTACTACTAGCTTGTGCATGTGTAATTTCATTTGATCTTTCCAATAATCCTAAATAGCTCCATTTTACAAATGCTCAATCTGAGATTTTAAAAGACTAGATATGTTGAATTATCACCCAGGGCAATTTATTGGCAATTTATTCCTCTTTCCTTCTATCTTTGTATCATTAAAAAAAAAACTATCACAAGAGATCTTCTTAATTATCTTTCTCAATAATATCTCAAATTAAGAATGTATATACTAATCACTTATATGTTTTCCTTGAAATACATGTAAGTGGTAACCATAAAGTAATTTCTTTAAAAACGGCTCATGGGGCTTCCCTGGTGGTGCAGTGGTTGAGAGTCCGCCTGCCGAAGCAGGGGACGCGGGTTCGTGCCCCGGTCCGGGAAGATCCCACATG